TTGTACTGCTGGACCGCTGGATTTGAAGATTTGACAAGCTTGAGCAGAAATCCAGGGATCCTTAGACCGAAGATGGGATTCTTGTCTGCTTTGAAATATTGCAGCTTCGGTGCATTGAAGTGTGGATCTGAGCTCCGTTTTGGTATTGAGGAGTGCTCTGCCATGGAGTCGTGAATGATTAGCCCGAGCCACCTTGCGTACGGGATGGTACCTGGCCTGTTCTTTTCTTTGGCTTTGACCAGGTCCATTAGCTCTGAGAAGAAGAGCTGTGCCAGGTCGTAGTTCTTGTTGAAAGCAATGCCATGAAAGATTAGCAGTATCTGCTTGTTGCACTTGTCGAAGCCGGCATGCTTAGGTGACAGGCACTTGTTCACCAGCCCGATGAGATTCTTCCACGGATGGTGAAGATATGCTCCGTTGAAGTTGGAGAGTTGTGGCAGTAGAGATGTGTAGCCAAGGGATGCCACGTCTTTGAGCAGATCGGGGATGGTTGGCAGTGCATCATACGTATCGTGAACTGGCAGCGCTAGAGTTGTCCGTAGAGTAGATGGTGTAAGAATCACCCGCATGCCGTTCAGCTTGGTCTTTATTTTTGAACGATCCTTCAGCGAATCAATATGCATATGCCCCCAGAACATATGCATAGTCCCAAAATTCTAACAATCATACAACCATAAGCAGTAATAAAGAAGCAGATAGAAAGAAATCGACAAGATTGAACGCGAATCTGATATACCGTATGAATCTGCCGCTACTCTCCCTGGAGAAGGAGAGCAGCGGCAACCCTAATTTCTCTCTATCTCGCCTCTACGCCTCTAAGCCTCTATCGATCTTTTTGGTTCCTGTAAGTTAGCCTCCTTTTATAGGAGAAGTTGGCTAACTTACGGGTTACAAGGAAGCCCACGGGCTGATACACATTTGTGGCCCGTATTACACGTTTAATTAATAACTACACAAATACAAAGATAACTAACTAGATTGAACACAATAAAATATTCCCAACAATCTCCCCCTTGGTGATCAATCGTGTTGAATCAGCATTGCAGCGCAGATATCTTTGTCTTTGAGCTTTCTTTGTCTTTGAACTTGACTTCTGAGGAAGGCTATCTGAAGAAATCCTTGCAATCTCCCCTTTGATGTCTTCTTGACAATTTGATCTTTGATGCCGGGGGTTGAGGGACCTTCTGTATCTTTCATGTAGTCCTTGCCTTCCAGAAGTTGCTCTTGATCAGCTTGGATGAAGTCCGGTGACGCCTCTAGAATGAATATTCTTTGGAGAATAGGAGACGTCCATGGAATTCATCTTCAGGACACGAGTATTTGACCTCTGTCTCCTCCACAATGTAGTCTTTTTGACTATTTGGAATGAATGCATTTGAGGAGAACTTGTCGGTGGCACAGCGGAACGTAATGATGGTTGATTTGTGAGTGTAGCTGACCATTTGATTTGAGTTGCGGAGATAGTAGAGAGGGTGTTGAATTTTGTGATGGAGGAGTGAAGTGTCCCAGAATGATTTGTTCAGTGTTAACAGCATGTGGACCACTCTCCCCCTCATGACGATCCGATGAATCGGGACGTCATGCTTTTATTCTTTTATTCTGCGGAAATAAAAACATGAAAAACAAGCAGAATCTAAAAAAAAATAACGTAGCCCCCCGGGGTCGTGAAGACGCCCGTTATCATCACTATAGAGATAAACTCTAAAGCAATGGCCTGAAAATGTTGGTGATTCTTATGTTGCAACAGTAGGACTTCCTTCCAATTATTGGTCTACATCTATAATAGATGAGCCCTATGGAAGTTCTCGCAAGTCTTGAAGACTAGCAACTGACTCTAAAATGTGTCTGTGTCCTAGAAAATTTCAAAACATTTGGGAAGTGAGTAACTAGACACGACGTGATCAATGAAATTTCAGTGGCATGGGGCTGAGGCCACTGTAGTCAGTATTACTTGCCTCGGAAGGAGACAGTAATGAGAGATGTGGTTCCCCGTGAACTATGATTAAACACTTGTCTGTTGGGAGACAAGTGAGTGGTCTAGGGTAGGGTTGTGCATGCGCCGTTTGGACAAAATGCAGCGACTTCTACCCGGGATCTGAATAAATTCAGTCCTGAACCTATGGGGATAGTCCAGAGTATTTTAGTGGCTAGGAGCAAATGTTCAATTCATAGCAGGCAATTGAGGTAGCAGACTCATCATTGATAATTGTTTTTCTTCTCACTTGAGCCTTCTGCTTCCTAATGCTCATAATGTTCACTCACTCACTCGCTCACTCACGCACTTACGCTCGGCTTTGTCCCTTGGGTAGGCTTAGTTGGGTTTACTAAGCCATAGGGACATGTTCTCTCATTACTTTCTTCATTTTCTCTCTGTACTCCCCCTCAACTGGAGCACTCGGTATGCTTTGTCATTGTTAGGCACCGGGGAGGATTACTTTGAACACTCCCCCTAGAATGTTGCATCCGTTGAGAGATTCCTTGCTTTGTCGGTGTAAGGCGCCAGGAGGAGAAAACTGTAACTCCCCCTCAGAATGTGCAAGGATTGATTGCTCACAGCTTGTCATACCCGCCATGTGTGTGGAGCAATCTGAACATGTACCACACATGACGGTTTCCCTGACCTCATCATGTAGAATTTCAGCATATTGATGATCACATAATGTTGACGAGTCAGGGGAGGCTTCAGCAGTTGATTGTTGATTGTTGTAAGATGACCGTTGACGCGAGGTTGATTGAATTATCTACGATTTTCAGACCTTTTCATTGAAGTTTAGAAAAGCTTTGACCTCAGGGTTGACATTTAAAGAATATGAACAGATTAGCCTAAGTTTTGACTTGGACATCGGTGATTTAGAATGTTTGTCGGAAAACTAACGTTTTGACCCTCAAAGACTGTGAGTGAGGGCGCGTGAGTATGGGTTCTGGGGCGTAGCCCGAGAATTAATGTAGATCTTTTCGTTAGCTTTCCAACAAAAAAAAATTTGCTCAAATCGGATCACCGAGTCAAAAGTTATGGCCAAAACAGTGCGGTGTCGCAGAAAATCTCTAATTTTGAGTTTTTGAGGAATTTCTTCGAAGATGAGGTGCTCGATGTTGAATGTCGAGAGAAGGTGGATTTTAAACAAAATTCTAGAGATTGCCTCGAAGAATAATGGCCAAATCCACCTGCAAAACAAACCTCAGAATATCGAAATCTGCAGAATTTCAAAATGTTTGAACATCGAAAACTTTGGAGTTTCGAAAACCTCATAATCTCGAAAACTTGCTGTTTGAAAAACATCAGAACATCGAAAACTCATGAAACATATATAAGCAGGGAATCATTTAGAGATCCTTATAATGTAAAGCTTCGATGAACTGCAAAGGATGTCAAGATTCGAATTATGAGTTCCAAGAAACTGCAAACTTTGAAAGATTCAAAAACATCGAAAAATTTTGAAAATCTCGAAATCTTCAGAATGTCGAGATCCAAAACATCGAGATCCCAAATGTCGAAATCCCAAAACTCGAAATCCCAAAACTCGAAATTCCAAATCTCGAGATTACAAATCTCGAGATCATGATTTCGAGATTCAAATCTCGAGATCATGATTTCGAGATTCAAATCTCGAGATCTTGATTTCGAGATTCAAATCTCGAGATCTTGATTTCGAGATCCAAATCTCGAGATCATGATATCGAGATTCAAATCTCGAGATCAAGATGTCGAGATGCAAATCTCGAGATCTTGATTTCGAGATTCAAATCTCGAGATCAAGATGTCGAGATGCAAATCTCGAGATCAAGATGTCGAGATGCAAATCTCGAGATCAAGATGTCGAGAAGAAGAAATCGAGTCCCTAAATGTCGAGATCCTGCAAAACGAAAACATTGATTTTTGAAAATCTGAAACCTGTTCTGAATAGCCCTGAAAGTCGAGATTCTCCTGTACCAGTTTCAAGCCAAAAACGTTTCTGCAGCAGTGAAAAAAGAGGATTTCGAGATCTCAATGTAGAGATCTTCGAAAAACAAAAATTGCAGAAAACGAAAAAAGAGGTATGCTGCTAGATCGGTTTTGAAAGGCGAATCCAACAGTATGATTTTTACAAAATTTCGTTCACAAACGAGATTACAGGAGCAAATCTCTACATATAGAAAAACTGAAGAAAAAACAGAGCAGTTCTTCGTTAAATCCAAAAATCGCAGACAGATTCAACCTGTTTCACGCCTCGGCTCTGATACCAATTGTTAGTCCCAAAATTCTAACAATCATACAACCATAAGCAGTAATAAAGAAGCAGATAGAAAGAAATCGACAAGATTGAACGCGAATCTGATATACCGTATGAATCTGCCGCTACTCTCCCTGGAGAAGGAGAGCAGCGGCAACCCTAATTTCTCTCTATCTCGCCTCTACGCCTCTAAGCCTCTATCGATCTTTTTGGTTCCCGTAAGTTAGCCTCCTTTTATAGGAGAAGTTGGCTAACTTACGGGTTACAAGGAAGCCCACGGGCTGATACACATTTGTGGCCCGTATTACACGTTTAATTAATAACTACACAAATACAAAGATAACTAACTAGATTGAACACCATAAAATATTCCCAACAGGGTCTAATTAATCTTTTATATTATCACATTTCTTTTATATCATCATTACTAAAAATTAGTTATGCACTTTTTTCTTTTTTATCCACTAAAAATATACTCCAGTATTTATGATTCCAGTAATTGCAAAAAAGCAACACTAAGTTATGCTCTTACACTTTAAAAAAAACATATACGATTGTGCAAGCTAAAATCTAAAAAATACTACTTCATCCCATTTTATGTGTCTTGCATTAGTTTTGTACAATTATTAGTAAAATGGTTGAAAAGTAAAATTTATAATTGGAATATGAGAATAATAAAGTGAAATGTTGTAGACTACATACTTTTTCAAACAAGAAAATGTAACACTTATTTTGGGATAACCTAAAAAGAAAACTAAAATGGGTAAAATGAGATGAATGGAGTATGTAGCAACTAGAGGTCATTAGTGAGGGCAGTTGCACTCTTCAATATGGAGAATGAATTGTCCCGTGCATCGCACGAATATTATAATTTAGTACAATGTTTATATTTTTTTTAAGCAGAAATTTATTGAAATTTTATTACGAAGAGTACAAATGATGGGGAAAAAACTAGTGAAACAAAATCGCTAATGAGAAAAAATTAAAACGAACTATCCAAAAAGACCATGCAAATCCACCACCATTCAAAGCCCTAGAGTAAAAGAGAAGCTCCATGTTGAATTGTATTGAGTTGCCCGAAAGAGATTTGAACTCCCCAAAATATCCATAAGCTAATTCTGTAAAGATAGAAGCGACCCTATGTGTCAACCAATTTTTTAGCCTTGAGACGAGTACTCCTTTGAGGTAGCAATCTAGAACGGGAAGAGTCCCATTTAGTGTTAGCAACGTGGTCTATTAGCTCACGATCAGAGAGTATCCTTTGAACATGCGTAACTTCAAAATATTTTCCACCCGAAATATTAGATTCCAAAACTTCAGTCCGAGGAGAAACCAATCCATCTGCTAATAGAGGTTCAGTTTTCTGGGGTGAAAATGTGATTTGGAGAGGAGTAGTTTCAAGCATATTTGTCACGTCTATCTCCTTGGTTTCAAAAGATAATGTCATGTCCTCTGTGAAGTATCCCGAATCACAAAAGCATTGCTTGAAATGTTATCCGGATCATAAATAAGCCCAACATAATGCAAATCTTCTTTAAAAATTAAAGAGGATATAGACCCTCCTTCTTTAGAAGATGACTCTTTGACCAAAAAAATAACCCCAAAATCTGACACTCTGTCCGAGCAAACAACCCCAAAATCCACTTGTGGCAGCTTCTCGAAAACTGTCAACCTATCACGTTGGCTCAACAAAGTTGAAAAGAAACTTTTAAACCCTTCACTTCTCCATCCTTCAATTATAGTTGAACTCCTCAAATTTCTAGAATCAACTAAACGCATAAAACCCCCAAATTTATTTGCTTCAAATGCAAGAAGTATTTCACGATCTTGCTCATACCTTGTAAAAACCTGTGAAGCTCCGGATTGTATCGAACTGAAAGAATCACACAACCAAGTAACACCTTGCTCATCCAATGAGATAGACCGAGAAAAGTTGCCCTTAATTTGACAGATATTCATATTCAGATGTGCCAAATTGAAACTAAAAACTTTACTTTCAATTTTAATAGAGATTTCTTTTGATACATCTAGATCTAAAGGAACTCAGTTGCATCCTTGTTGAGAAGGAAGAAGGCGCACTCATCTGTGGATCGGTCAAGAGAGTCATGTTTTAACTGTACATGTTGCTGAGGACGAAGCTCTCTCACATGTAAACGAATCTGGGTCAGCTTCGGCCCCCATGCCGGAAATTCAATCCACCTTTTTAGCCTTGTTCTGAAAGAGCCCTTCTGTTTGGGTTCTTGAGCGAGAAACCTTCAGCCCTGATCCGAAATCGCATCCACACCACCTGCAGCGAGCATCGACAGATCTGTCAATAAATTAAATCAATCTTCAATGTGTAGAATGCATTGTCCCATGGAACGAAATCATTACCGAGTACTCCCTTCCCTCAATACTTTGTCATGTTTGAGCGGCACGAGAAATAATAAAGTAAAAACTGTGTGGTTGAGATATGTGCAGAGGAGAGAGAAATAACATGAAACACAATTTGATTGATTAAAAGGGAAAGTGGCAAAGTTTTTGGGACATCCAAAAAAGGAAAATGACAAAGTTATAAGGGACGGGGGAGTATTACACAATCCAGTACACGAAATCATAAGTTACGTGTTTCGTGAAAAAATGATAAAAAGCTGGAAAAGCAAAAAATAGAGTCACCAAACAGGCTCTGAGTGTATTGAATGTAAACTTTTAAATATATAAAAAAGTATAGGTGTGTTCAATGAAGACTTTTAAAAAAAGTTCAGGCGTATTAAAACTTCCATTCAATTTTAGGTCTTGTAAAATCACGAATTCTCGTGAACTTTTAACTCATTTTTAGTACAATAATTTTCTATGCAATTGTGTTTTCTCCTCACATATAATACTAACACAATAGTATAGAGTACATAGTTTCTAGAGGGATAAAATAATCTGTTGAAACGTGGAATATTTTGAATTTGACTATTTAAAAAGATGAAACTTTACATAACCTTCCTTTCACTTTGAACATGGCTAAAAAATATAGCCTTCCTTTATGCAAGATACAAGTAAGTCTATGATAACTTCCCTTTTATGTGGTCCACATAAAACTAAAAGTTTATATATAGAAGAAATAGTAATTTACTTTAGTATGAGCCAAGAAAATAATAATTTTATATGTCTAACATATACACATGCATACACACATATAAATATATGTTAATTCAAATGTATACACACACACATATATATATTATATATTATTTTTAAATATGTTTGAGAATCTTTTATGAGGCTCGATAATACAAACTCGTGAAAAAAGGATCATACAAATGAAAATGAAGATAAGCAATCAAGTATTTATTTGTAGTTTTAAAAAAATTGTAAGATAAAAAATTAATTGTACATGTAAGAGATCTGACAAAATAATATTGATTTGTTTTCATCTCCGAGACTCCGATAATCTAATTAGGGGATCGTACACTTTCTTAGATTTTTAATAAAAAGTTTTAAGTATGTAGGCAAATGTACTATTTTGGGGGTATTTCTTTAATTTTTCTGAGTATGCACGAAAACTTTCAATACAAGACTTAGAAAATATGTTGGCTATGAATTAAGGGCGTGAAGGTAAAAGGTATCAGTGAAGGACTCGATTGATTCAACACTATCAATCGAAGAACTATACCATCATGGGTTTTGATTTCTTTGTTGTATATTCATTTTATTTCTATTTTTATACTTTTTTTACAATAATTTTTCAGTTTGATAAATCTAAATAATAACTACAAAAATCAAAATGCTTTAAGTCTTAGATTTATACGTTTCAACCATTGGGGTCCAATACCGATAATTTTTATCTTCAAAACCTTGATTGATAGTTACCGCATCTTACATGCCATAATTTGAAAAATTCTAAACAAGCTTATAAATTTCTAAAGTAGGTTATATCTAAACACTTTTAAATGAGAATAATATTACTTATTATTACTTATTCTAAAAAGTATTCTAGTGGTAAGGGATATACACTAGAACAATATGATAATACCGCCCCATTTAAACAATCAACGTAACACCATATCATATTGTTTTGGAACCATCACAAAAACAAGCATTTCGAGACTTTTAAGAGATGAATTTGTAATAAATACTAACATATTATAATGAAAAAGTGCAAAAAATATGCTTTAAGTGTGACACTCAAATGGATATATAGAATGGAAAGTAAGTAACTCAATTCTTACCATATAACTTATAAAATACATAAACATGTAGTAAAAAAACACAAACAAGTAAATTACATTATAAATTATGTTTGTTCTAAGTAATTATTAAATGTCTATTAAATCTAATTATGTTAGAATGCTTAATAGCTAGGCATGTGAGACTTACAACAAATGAAACTATAAACAAAACTTTAAAATAGACATATTAACATAATAAAAACTTGTAGTAGTAAGATAAAAATAAAATTGTTAAAAATATATACAATCAAACTATAAAATGGTTGATTTGAGTTATCTACCTAATATTGAAAAAATTATATGAAATACACTAAAACAGATCTCTTCGAAAAAATTAGTCAATTAATCCATAAAAATAACTCGAGTCTTACTTATTTGATTACTGCATAATGTAGCACGTGGAAACAAAACTCTTGTGTTTAGTAAAAAATGGCTAATAAGGTTAATAAGTTGAAGACATATGCTACCAAAAGACTACGAGAAATCTTCTTAAAATTCACGCCAAACATTCTAGTTTCAGCAGCCGCTTCTTTTGTCTTCTCTTGCGCTATGGAAGAGATATTAGTAGTATTATATTCATCTGGTCATCATCACGTTGCCCTAATGTTGTGAACTAATAAGTTACAAAAAATCTAATCCAACTTTAACTTTTGGATCATGGCTATATAATATACGTGCAGGTATGAAATTTCTAGTTACCTATATCTATATAATCCTTGCAATCTACATACATGTGTGACAATATTCATATATTAATCCTTAGTGGAGTGATTGTTTTGGCACGAGGAATAATTGATGAAGATGGTTTTAAGGGGGTGTTGGTGATTGCCCATTGGAAATCGGGGAAAAACAGTATACATATAGTTCTTTTTATATATGTTTCATGTGTATACTTTTGTTCTCCCCTCTCTTAACTTAAAAATTTTAAAACCATTTAAATCTCTAAATAATCGGGGGAAAACAGTATACATATAATTCTTTTTAATTTACGTTTTCCTCATCAACACAAAAGTTACTAACTATTTAATATAAATTAAAATAACAATAGAAAAATAATTGATTCAAGACATATGTTGTCAATCATAATAATAGACCTATACTTTTCATAAATTTATTTTCTATAAGGACTTACTTGACAATTTTTCCATGTTTAATTATTAGGAATTGAGCATAATTTTAGCACCGGATTTAGATCATCAAACTTTATATATATTTTATTGACATATATATACAGGATAAAAAATAAAAAAACTAATTGGTATTATAATATTGAGAATAAATAACTAACACCTGATTTAGCCACCTTAGTTGAACTTTGATGATCATTGTCAATTTTCGATAACAAATTCTAGATTTCATCCATCACAACTGAATTGATCACCATACCAGACTCAACTACCGCAGTTTATTACAATCACTATCAAAAGTCTTAACTTTAGCAAAAACATAACAAAGGGGATGCAACTAAGGGAGCCAATACTCCAATCTCGATGTCATCGTGAAACAATCACCACATCGGTAGAACAAGCTCACTTAATGGCCACATCACATCTATAGAACACTGTCACATAACATATCTATAATAGACAGACATTATGGGTTGTAGGCACTATGAGGCACCACTACTCAATAATGTTGTTTGTCAAATTGACATTGATATCTTTGAGAGTATGATACAACACTAGCATCAGACACAGAGACATGAATTTGTCACATTTGGACTTGTGGAATGCAATATAGATACATCTCAATATTGTATTTGGCACTAAAAATGTAAGGAGTCATTTTTAGTATCCACACCATTTTCAGTTCTATTTAGAATATCTCATGCAATCGTTATAATTAACTAGCAAAAGAAGTTGTATTTATTTTACATTGTATGTCCCAGATATATAAATGGGATTAATGACTTTTAACAATTGTAAATGATCAACACATTATATTATTTCTCTAATGGAAAGAAGTATCATGAAAATTCAACACATTATATCATTGCACTATAATTCAGTAACTATAGTAAAAACACCATTAGAAAAATAACTATATGCTACAGTTGTGTTTAGCTATTTGATTGCGGTTTTGAACCACAACAATTGTCAACGCTTCAAATAGTAACCTAAGTTATAATTTGTTGCGGTTCTTAACCGCAACAAATAATATTTTTTAAAAATGCAAATAGACTGATTGTTGCGTTTTACGATCACATCAAATAATATTTAAAAGGTAAATAGACTTATTGTTTCAGTTCATAACCGCATCAAATAATATTTTCAAAAATGATATATTTGAGTTATTGATGTGATTGTAAACTACAGTAAATATTTTTTTACATAATTACTATTATTGGTTTGTTTATTTATGCTATCCAAATACACACAAAAACAATATTCTGCATAAAAAACTCTGTTTACAAAATTAGCAATATTCACCATCTCATCAAAACAAAGTGAATTCATAAATCACAATAACTTAAGTTATGAAACACCAAATTTAGTGCACAATGAATCAATGCAGTGAGCACATAGTACAAAATGTGTTATTAGTATATACTTTACAACAAATGACCATGTACATATTGATGAAATATATTCTCATATACCACAGGCGTATCAACATTTACGAATAAATAATCTACATAAATCACTAAGTCATTTACCGCTGAGACCAAACCCGTGTCCGCGGAGTTCGGTTCCCAAATCAGCTCTTAGATCATTGAGATAAGTCCAAAACTAGATCTGAGCCCGAGCCCGTGTCCGCCAAGGTCGGTTCCCACATCAGTTCTCAGATCATCGAGATAAGCCCATCACTGCCCACCAATGTTAACGCCAAAGTTTGCGCTATAACCGAGCTTGAGGTTGACTAGAACCTCGCAGAGTCAAAGAATTGAAGAAAACGTTATTACCTCGCATAAATAAGCTGAGGGCACCCCCTACTAAATAAATGCACCGTCCCCGAGCTAAGGTTTCGCAGAGCCCGTGACCTCGGGGAAGATCGTGGACTTAGCTATTTTCATGACTCAAGATCCGCATGCAACTGTAGTTATGTCATCAACATGACAACTGTCCAGGGCTAATGTCAACCTTGCGCTTATACACATAAGGCTATAAGCCTTACATGTGTGGCTTACATGTGTGTTCCTGTACAAAAGGAATCAATTCAGTTATCTACAATACCAATCGGTTAGTTGTACATATTCTCTTACCAATCAAGCTTTACATGTGTCGTATTATTAGACCAACATATTTTACTCGTTGCCCAAGTATTTCCTCTTTACACTATAACTATCACCTTCCAACCCGTGGAAAGAGATTCTCATTCTTGTGCACAAACTTATTGTTAATGTGTCAAATCTTCTACTAAATCTTTACTTACCACTTTTCAATCTCTCCCTTTCGGTTTTCCGCTACCCCCTCCCCCCGGCTCGGTAAAGCCATCACATATATTGAAAATGCATTACAAACTTCACAC